AATTTTTGCCAGCCCCCTAAAATCTTTGTCAAAAGCTTTGGTGGCTTATTATGACACTCGTGGTATTGCATTAATATTATCTCTACAAACCCCCATCTATCTCTAATTGTCAAAAACTTTTAATAGGCATGTTATGTAGTATATTAAACAAAAGTATGTAACAATTAGTGTTATTTTCAAATTTGAATTTAATGTGGGAAAAATTTTAATAATACATAGAATTTAATGATTGAATTGATGAGTGTTAGTAGAAGTATCAACCGAATGATGTACTAATCATTTTTTACTGAAAAAACCAATTTAGAACAAATTTTTAGTATTATTTTTATCCTATAATTATTTAGTGTATTCCTTTGTGATAGAAAAAAAAAATTTTGCCAGCCCCCTAAAATCTTTGTCAAAAGCTTTGGTGGCTTATTATGACTCTTTAGTATTGCATTAATATTATCTCAACAAACCCCATCTGTCTCTAATTGACTTCCAAGGAGTATTGTATTATTATCCCAACAAACCCCATCCAAGCCACAAAAAAATTATGGCCATCATTATTATTATTATTTTTTTGAACAGCCAAGAAATTCATATTGATAACTTGAGTACAATAGGTACTCTAACCCATATCCATGAACAATTTACAAGCCCTTCAGTGTTACTACCCTCTTTCAAACATGTCCTACTTTACTTTACTAAGACAAGAAGCAGGATTGATTAACCAATCTGATAGATTGAACTACCAGTCTCAAAATTATGGTCATCATTATTACAACGTAGCAATTGTTTACGAAAATTCCCTTTTTGCATGATTAAACTACCAGTCTCAAAAGCTCAAGACATCTTCAATCTTTGACAAGAATCACAAGTTCACAAATCACAACCCCATTCAAACCACATCCAAACAATTATGGTCATCCTTATTACAACCTAGGAACCGTTTATGAAAATTTCCTTTTTGCATGATTAAACTGCCAGTCTGAAAAGCTCAAGATATCTTCTATCTCAAGATAATCTGGTTTAGCTGTGTTATTATTATTATTAACATGAATTATATTGATACGAGAGTACAAGGGACTCTTATCTATAGGGTAATACATACCAATAACCCTACCCCAAGCTGTGTTATGATTAGTTCCAACTCAAAGTCTGAAAATGTTAGCAAAAACTATATCTGTTGATTTTTAGTAAATATAATTTGATTTTTTAATTTTTAAGATATAAATTTTAGATAAAAATTTAATAATTTATATGAATAATAATTATTTTTTTTATCAAACTAAAAATACTTAACAAGAACTATATATAGAAATAAAAAAATTTCAATTGTTTATATATATCATAAAATTTCCATCTAAAATTCATATTTTAAAAATAAAAAAATCAAACTAAGTCTACTAAAAATAAACAGTACCTTCTCTAATCCAAAAGAATAGATATTTTTTTATTTAAAATTTATCTCAAATTATTTTGTTTATTTTTAAGTTAGATACAAATTTCTTTCCTTACTTTAACTTTATTATAATTTATTTATTTTAATTAATTATCTTATCAC